TCATCTATCGTCTAATGTTCGCCTTGTTTCATGCAGCTAATGGGTCAGGTCAGACGCGGCCACAGTGAGGTGAGCCCCAAATCCTATCACCACCCACTGTACTTACCCCTCCTCCAGCCTCCCTCCTCATGCCCTGGCTCTTACGCACAGCTGAGATTGGAAACCTTAAAACTGTTATCACTAAGTATGATACAGGTGTGGCTTTAAGTTAGTCTTTATCATGCAGAGCACAAGCCTCCTTTTTCTATTTGTTTTTTTTAAATAAATTTTTATTGATTTCAGAGAGGAAGGGAGAGAGAGAGAGATAGAAACATCAGTGATGAGAGAGAATCATTGATTGGCTGCCTCCTGCACACCCCACACTGGAGATTGAAGCCAGGCATGTGCCTTTGACTGGAATTGAACCCAGGACCCATCAGTCCTCAGGCCAATGCTCTATCCACTGAGCAAGCTGGAGGACTGGAGGACCGGAGTTCTCCAGCTAGGGCCTTTTTCTGTTATTTTTTAAAGCTTTTAAAACATCATCAGAACTGGGCCTTGACTTTTGTTGAATGCTTCTCTAACTCTATAGTTGTTTTTTTTATTTGCCTTGTTACATTGCTAAAAGTATGGGGCCTATGGAGCCTTCCTGTTTTGCCTGTTTTGTAGGTCATATTGCCCACCTGCTTTTAAAAAGCCCGAGGGACAAAGAAAAACTTGACAAAGGCACAGATTTAGAGCATAATTTAGAGTGCAGAGTGGGGACATCTTGGAGTGAAGGGTACTGAATATAAGGCACTTTGGGTACAAACAAGTGTCCACCCACCCAGTCATATAGAATCATCCGTTTTGCCCTTTGCTCTGAAGGTGGGCATTTTGCTTTTGCTGAAGGGTGCACGGGGCTAAGCTACGTGTGGTGGGGGCGTCATTTGGTCCAGGGGAACTCTGGGCAGGGCAGGGTGCCCACGAGGCCACTTTCACATCCCCCTGTCGGGCCAGGGGTCTGGGTGGCTTTGGAAGCTGAGAGCGAGTGAACCAGCCATCATGGGTGGTGGTCCTTCTGTCCCCAGAGCTGCCTCAACAAGCAGCAGGTCCTCACGGCCATCCGCCAGTTGCAGCAGCTGCTGAAGGTCCAGGAGACCCGCTTCGCCGAGGGGCTCCGCAACGTGAGGAGCCGGCTGGCTGCGCTCCAGAGCTCTGCCAACAGAGTGGGTCCCGACAGCCCCCCAGGTGGGTCCCCAAGTCGGCACGACCTGGCACAGAGCACTCAGGCCCTTCACCTGTGACACTTTACCGTGCCTCACGGTGGGTTCCCAGGCCTGTCCCGGCCTCACCTGCTGGCTCCCCCCCCCCCCCGACCCCCACCCCCGCTGTCTGAATGTCACCTACTCCCGCGTAGATCTTTCCATTCTGGGCTGCACAATGCTCACATCTGCATGTTAAGGTCACAGACCTCAAAAGGCACCACTTTTAGAGCAAAAGCTGCTTCTCCCCGCTTCCCTCACCCCCATCCCCACCCCCACCCAGGCAGATTCCAGCTGGCTGCAGCCTGGGGTTTTAACTTTTTAACACTGATTTTTAGAGCACTGTTAAGTGCACAGCAAAACTGAGTGGAAAGCACTGAGTTCCCACATGCGCCCTCCCGAACACACACGTCGCTGCCACCGCTGGTGTTGGCACCAGGGCGGCACTCCAGGTCCATCCAGGCACCAACACTGGCTGCAGTGTGTCAGGCATGAACTCCAGTCCTCCAGCCAGAGGGCCCACTCGGCCCAGTGGGAGGTGAGGGTGGGGGTCTGGTGAGCACAGCGGGTGGGCTCGGACGGACACCAGGTCTTCTCCTGCTTGTCCCAGTGATGGCTTTCACGTTGCCACGGCCCAGAAGTGGTAGCTGGATTTCCTCTGGTCTCTCCTCAGGGTGTTGGGGTCTGGGGAGTGGCGGGGGGATGGGGAAGTCATGAGCCTGTGGCATATTTTTTGTCATTCGCGCACTTAATGCAAATTATCAAGAACTTTCTTGGTGTGTGAGATGAAGTTTCCTGGGGAAGGTGCTGGATTTTGTACCTTTTTGTCAAATCCGGAGTCTCAACAGAACCGAGTCGACTCCTGACTTCCTCGGCTCCCCTGAGCAGAGCCAGACCTGCCAGCCAGACCCCCTCACCCTTTCCCAGGTACCAGGGGCTCCTTGGGGGGCTCATCACAGCCAGGCTCTGAGAAGAGGCAAGGGCATCTATCCTTCCTGCCTCAGATGGGAAGCCGCGGCCAGGAGAAGTGAGGTAGCAGTAGCAGGTCCCAGATCCTTCCTCTTTCCGTGGGGTCAGAGCTGCCTGCAGCCACTGGGAGTTTCAAAGGAGAAACTGCAGCTGCTCATTTATAAAACTGCCGGCCATGCCCAGTAGTGCACACAGAACGGTGTATCGTTAAATTACTAACCCTCTCATCTCCAGATTCTGGGTCTTTCTTCCTTGAGCCATGCAAGGATTTTTTAAGTGGTTCTCTCTCTCTCTCTCTCTCTCTCTCTCTCTCTCTCTCTCTCTAATATATTTTATTGATTTTTTACAGAGAGGAAGGGAGAGGGATAAAGAGTTAGAAACATCGATGAGAGAGAAACATCTACCAGCTGCCTCCTGCACACCTCCGACTGGGTATGTGCCCACACCCAATGTACATGCCCTTGACCAGCATCGAACCTGGGACCTTTGAGTCTGTAGGCCGACGTTCTATCCACTGAGCCAAACCAGTTAGGGCCATTCTCTTTTTTTAAAAAAACTGCCACCTTGCATTCTACCTCTTCTGTGTGTGGGCATGGCGTCTGGCAGCTGTCAGGAACGCCACCTCGGAGTGGGGTGACTGCACCTGGGCCATGGGAGCCAGACGCTGGCCCCAGGTAGTGGGAAATTTGCTGTTTTTTAAGGGCATTTGGGGGAGTCAGGAAGAATAATTTCTAGTCCTGAGGACTCCTAGGTCTTCCTCTTTGGCTTCTGTCCTAAGTATCTCCCTGCTGCTTTCCCAGCCGTTCTTTGCTGTGAGCATCACAGCCCGTCGGCGTCAGGGCCTGTCCAGGCAGCCTCATTCCATCCATATCCATCGCCCGGGGTGGCTCCCCCCGATCTCACTCCTGCACATGAAGCTTATCGTGGAAGCGGCAGGGGACGCCCCTGTGGCGGCAGACTCACTGGGACGGGCTCGGAGTGAAGTGAGCCAGCCACGGGCACACCATCCACAGGGCACCTCGTCCACCGGACAGAGGCCGCTGGCTCACACTGGGGAAGTGACTGCACATGGATTTTTCTCTCATTTACTCCCACCCCGGGGCAAAAGCTGCATAAATGCTGCTGCCACCCTCCCAAATTTCTTCACAGATTAATTTCTTATCACTATTTTTATACCTACTTGATGCTTTTAAGAAGATGTAAATAAATATTTTGTCCAGCTTTTTGACTGGATCATTGCTGCAAATTGATTTTTTTATTAAAGATTTTTAATATGTTTTTAATTGGTTGTTTTTGTTTTGTTTTGTTTTTAGAGAGAGAGGAAGGGAGAGAATAGATAGAAACATCAATGATGAGAGAGAATCACCGAGCCCACAACCTGGGCATGTGCCCTGACCGGGAATCAAACCCTGACCTCCTGATTCCTGGGTTGATGCTCACCCACTGAGCCATGCCGCCTGGGCTGCAAATCGATTTTTCATTGATCTGCATCCACTCTTTCATTCCACTAACATTTACTGAGCACCTACTGTGTGCCAGATACTGTTCCACCTATGCAGGTCGGGTTAACCTGCGAGTTGCTCCAGCAGGTGGTTTTCCTTTCTTTGAGGTTTTTAAAGATTTTTCACCCCAAAGAGACCCCACTCCTTTCCCTCTTGACAGTGGTCCCCTTCACATTCCTCAGGCCTGCCAGGCACCGGCACGTCCCCTCTGTCCTGGATTCTGCGTGGTTATGCCTCCATCGCCTTCAACTCTTGGCTCCAGTGAGGCCTGCTCTGACCACCACATCCACGACTACCCCCTCACTGTGCAGCCCCAGGATTCCCTGCTCTATTTCCTGCATGACACTCTCCCCTCTCCCCTCACTCTGCCGCTTGCTCGTAGGTCTGGGTTACCCATGGTCTCTCCCCTGCTAGAAAGGGCTTCAGAGAGCAGGGTTTTGTTCGCTGATTCTCCCAAGCGCCTATCTAGTGCCTGGCACATAGTAAGAACACAGTAGGTAATTTTTCATTTACTCGTGTGTTCAAGGATTAGGTACTGGGTGCTCACGTGGGGCAGGCGCTGGGCTGGGCGGGGCTGGGCACGCAGCGGGGACTCAGGACAGGCATAGTCCCCCCTTGAGCTGCTTCCTGGGGAGAAAAGTGACAACAGATGTGGAAACAAACACGGCGATAAGAGGCCTCCAGGGGTCACAAATCTAGGGGGGAAGCGAAGGGAGCTCACGGCATAGCAGGTGCCCTGGGAGGTTTTAGCGAAGCGTGGTGGTCAGAGAACATTCTGGGAGGGGGTTGCATTTAAACGAAGACCCATGTGAGTGAGAAGGAGCCAGAGAGGGGACGTTCTGTGAAAAGAACATCCCAGGCAGAGAGAAGAGCAGACGCCAAGGCCTGGACACAGGCCAAGCCCTGCCTGAAGCTCCGAGAGTGTCAGGTGTCAGCACAGCTGCGGGGAATCCCACCCTGAGCTTCCCACGCGGCCAGGCCCACGCACAGCACTCGGCGTCTCTGAGCGCAGTCCTCAGCTTCCACTGAGTGGGCAGTCCTCACCCCAGCCACGCGAGCTCGGAGGAGTCGATGAGACATTTAAGAGGTCCAGCCTGGTGCTCAGCCTGGAGGGGGCACTCAGAGGAGCCTGGTGGTGGACGGTGATGTCTAACTCGCTGTGGTCCTTCCTCTTCTCCTACAGTTTCCTGCCCCGCTCTGAACGCCCCTCGAGACGGCAGGAAGTTTGGAAGCAAGTACTTAGTGGATCACGAAGTCCATTTTACCTGCGACCCCGGGTTCCAGCTGGTGGGGCCTGGCAGTGTGGTGTGTCTTCCCAACGGCACCTGGACCGGGGAGCAGCCCCACTGCAGAGGTCGGTCCCTCCTAACCGTCCGCAGAGCTGGGCCCTGCTGGGGAGCAGGGCTCATTCCTCGGGACCCTTTCCACCTGATGCCTCCACCATTTTTCAACCGCAGGAAAGCGGGCACAGTGTCTGATGACTCAGCTCCACCTGTCCGAGCTCCCTAAATCCTCCCTACAATTCAGTCTGGCTGTGCATATGGGGAAATTGAGGCACAGAATGCCCAAGACCACAGCGCTGGGGGACGGGCTGAACTGATCCACACACAGACACTCTGACCCCAGCGTCAGTTCCTCAGCACCTCACTGCTCTTACCGATGGGGCCGAGACGCCTTCTGGGGGTTGTGCGGAAGGACAAGAGGGAGACGCTGCACAGAAACGCTCCTCTTGTCTTGTTCGCTCTGGGCCGCCGTTTGCTTGTGAGGCTGTGGGTGGCCTGTGGGGTTGAAGAAGTCCCTCAGGTGTCCTTTGTGTCTGATGTGGGACTTGGTGTGACCGGCTCTGGGGAGGCCGCTGGGTGAGAGGGAGGCATGAAAGCCTTCTCTTCTCTCTGTTGGGCTTGAAACAGTACTTCTTTGATGCTGAGAGAAATCAGACTTGGCATGCATCACGTGTTGGCTTTTCAAAAATGTATGGTCCAATCTTCATGCATACCAGTCATTTTCAGGGTCGGGCTCAGAGCACATCTGCCGGGGCAGAATGTCCATGATTGTAGCCCAAGAAGTGCAGGGGAAACGCAAATAGGACACGAACAAGTAGGTTTTGAAGAACAGCATCTGAACGCGTGAGTAGCTCGCAAACATACAGGAGCATCAGCAATGCACCATCTCTCCCGACAGGAGGGTTGGCCTGAGAAGCACAGGCAGCAGCAGCGCCACACTCACGGGAAGGCTTGGGTTCCCATCTCCTGGGAAGAACGCGGTTTGCAGGGTGATTACAGGTACCAGCTCTCAGACCAATCAGCAGCTAGCCAGGAAACCAAGGGGTGTCACAGGCGGACACACAGGGGACCTGCATCTGGATTTCCCTTGACCCTGAGAGACTTCCATCATCTCCTATAGAGACAAAGAACAAAAGGTTTTTTCCCTGGTGAAAAGCGCTCTTAGGGTTTTCTCTCTTCACCACTTTTCTGTGTGTCCTACAGCCTTGCAGCTACAGCCACCAGGCTTGGCACTTATAACTGGGCATTTGCACCTTAGCACTTACTTATAACTGGGCGTTTGCACCTTTGTCTCTGTATCCCTTATAAACCGGGAGGTAACTCCAGCGGCCTGGCCAGCTCAGGGCAGAGTTTTGTTTTGTTTGGGCCAGACAGCACTCTAGACGTCTGCTGGGGAGTCCCCGCCGTGGTCCTCTCCCTCCTGTGACGCTGCCCCTTGGTGACGTCGCCGACCTCATGCAGACATCCCCCCGTCGGTCCCTCCTCGGGGCAATTCCCTGAGTTCTCCAACGTTCCCAAAAGGTGCAGCTTCTCCATCGGGTGTCGTTTCGCTGGGACATAAAACACCCGTGAGATTCCTCTTCTTGAGCATCTTCAATATGTTCCTCTGTGTCTTCTGTTTTCGCGATGCTGTTGTTGCCATCATGACTAAGAAATCTCTTGAATGCACAGGACCCTGTTACTGGCCTTCCTAGGCCAGGTTCCTCGGGTGTGGGCTCGTGTGTTCAAGAGGGAGTCTCTGTCTCTGGAGCTGTCTGGCCACTGCAACGCGGCAGGCGTTCCGGACAGGCCCCATATGCGGAGACTCGCGGGAGGAGAATCCAAATGAGCCACACGTAAAATCGGTGCAGATGAAGAGATGGTCCAGACAAGAGTGGGGGGGATTGACAAGGGCAGAGCTGAGCAAGTGTCCAACGCGGAAAACAACGGGCCTGTCACCTGGAGTGAGGGAGCTCGCAAAGCTCCACAGGAAAACTTACTTCCCTGAGGATGAGTCATAGGAAAGGACTTGTCAAGCCCATACAAACTATGGTAGGAAAACAGAGAGTAAAGTCTACAGCCAACGGAAAAATGCCAGAAAGACATGCCCACAAAACTGATGAAAGTTGTGACTAATATTTCCGAACAAGCAGCAAGAAATTTTTAAAAAATAAAAACAGTGAAAGGACGGCATACGTAAAAGAAAACCTCAGAAACGAGGTGATGGGAGAAATGGAAGTTTGAAACTAGATGACAGAACACAGGAAAGAATGAGAAATAAAGGGACAAGAGGTCAGATCATGCGCGTGAAACAGCTCAGGTCCAGAGACACAGTAAGTGCTCACTTCACAGTAAGTTGGGCAACAGAATCATCACAGTGTTTTTTGCTTTTTGATCCTCACCCGCAGATATGTTTTTATTCATATTGGAGAGAAAGAGAGAAACATTGATGTGAGAGGGAAACATCGATCGGTTGCCTCCTGCACCCACCGTGACCGGGAATCGAACCTGCAACCTAGGTATGTGCCTTGACCTGAAATTGAACCCGCAACCCTTTGGTGAATGGGATGATGCCCAACCCACTGAGCCACGCGGCCAGGGCTCATCACAGTGCCTTTGCCTTCCCAGCCTCTCCACAGCTTCTCCAGTGCCCCCTTTGCAGCTGTGAAGTCGCCATGCACTTAACGAAGTGCCCCTGCCTGGGACAGACACGATGTGATGACAGAACTTCAGTCGGGACACAGATGGCATGCCATGGCACGCCTCCAAGAGTGGATCAAGATAAGAGTCTGTGTGGATCCTGTCTAGAAATGAAAACCTGGGGCACCTGGGTACAATCCCCACCCCACCTGCACCCCATTGTCCAGGTGCGACCGGGCTCGGTGCCTCCTGCTGGAGGCCTGGCTGGGGACAGGCCATGGCACTGGTCCCACCGGGGCCAGAATGAAAGACGCCCGTGTTCAAATCCTGGCTCTGTGCCACGACCTCACGGCCTCAAGGTCTGCTGCTTTCAGACGTTGCTGGTGAGAACCGATGGGCTGGACGACGGGTAGAAACGGGAGCTCTGAGCCCGTGGCTTTGTGTGCAGTGTGGCTCCGGGCACATTCCTGGAAACCCCTCATCTGAAAACAGAGCCTGTGGGGGAGGACAGCCAGGTTGGGGTCACTGAGAAGTTGAAATGGCTCCTCCCAGCATCTGGATGGTGTGGGTCCTTCCGTGATGGAGACAAACCATGTCACAGTTTACACGACACCCCAGCCACAAGGAGGCCAACCCGCCCCACAAGGCTGCTGTTCTCATCAGGAGTGAAGACCTTCCCTTCCTCTCGAAGGACACGTCAGGGAAGGATGCTCGGGTGCCACTCGGGGCGTTTCGGACCGTCCCCAGGACGCTGTGGTCAGCCCGGGAACCCCAGACCTGCCCCTGGTGCCCAAACGCCACCACCAAAACTGGGCTTACGGGATTCACAACACGCAGATGGGGCCTGAGGGTTTCAAAATATCATTTTCCCCCCTGATTTGGAAATTTATAAATGTTCATTGTGGAAACAAAGTGTAAATAAGAAAAACTACCAACAGAGGAAAACCTATTACACTGTTAAACATGTATCTCTCTATGGAGCTTTTCCACCGGACTGTGCGTAGATGAACAAGGAACCGTTTCCTTTTCCAGCATTAAGGAGAGGTCAAGGGTCAGGAGAACTGACGGGAGGGCTTCTAGGTGGGATTGGAAAGTGCATTTCCCCATTTCTGTACATTCTATGGGCCATCCTTCCCTCCCTCTTATAACTCCCCCAAACTGAGCTCCCGTCCAAAAGGTGTTCTACCTGGGAGCTGGCTGACAGGCAGCGTTGGGGGCAGTTCTGCCTGGGAGCTGGCTGACAGGCAGGTGACGGGCTGTGCCCACCGGCAGAGCTCCAGGCTGGCAGGCACGTGGCCTGCAGAGGGAGGGTGGGCTGCATTTGAGCTCCTGCAGCAGGCGGTGGCAAGGGCAGAGTGGGGAGGCGGAGTGCCCGAGGCAAACTGCGACGTAAAGACGGTTCATCCATCTTGTGTTTTGTTTGTTTGTTTTAGAATCTGAACTCAGACTTGTGATTGAAAATGATTTATCTTCCTAGATATCAGCGAGTGTGCCAGCCAGCCTTGCCAGCATGGCGGGACGTGTTTAGAAGGAGTCAACCAGTACACGTGCATCTGCCCTCCAGGAAGGACCGGGAGCCGCTGCCAGCACCAGGCCCAGACTGGTACGTGGCCGTGAGGGGCTGGGCGAGGACATCGCTGCCGGGGGACCCTGGTCAGGGGCCGCCAGATGCACGCACGCCAGTGTGGGCTCTTCCTCTGCGCCACATCCATCGATCTCTCTGGTTCCCCGAGGCAGGTACCAGGGACGGAGTTTAGCTCTTTTGTGTAACCAGAGTTTTGAACCTTTTTATGGAAGAAAATTCAAGTGGAAGGACCGATTCACAGCCTGGAAAGTCCCCAGGTTGGGGCTGGGCTGAGCTGTTTCCTTGCGGCCACCTTCACATGTCAGTGTTTCCCCTGCAGACCTACAGAGTGACTTCCTGTCCCATCACACCTGCAAGTCCGTGGCTGCTGTTAGAGGCCAGGTGTCTTTAGAGCTGGGCGACTATTCATCTGAGTGGTGGGGAGGTTGTCCGCACGGAGTCCCCGCATGTCTCCAGCCAGAAGGCCTGGGAGACACACAGTGGCTGCCGTGCAGATGGCAGGAAAATGCAATAGGGATTTGATAGGGGTGGACGGGGTTCCCACACTGCGGTGCAACCAAAATGACATAAATAGGTCAGATCCTAAGTATATCCTGCTCCTTTGCCCCCAAAGCCTGGCACGTCCTGTGTGATTTCTGTGTGGCATCTCAGTGTGGGGGGAGCATCGGGAGGTTAGCACAGTATCCGGAGAGTAGGAGCTTAGTCAAGACTCAGCGTCCTTGCACTGGACCAGCCCGAGGTCACCTGTAAGTGTTGCCCCCAGAGATTTGCTGCTTTACGTGTCCTGATTCCATTCAGTCTGCTGGGAGTTTTCTCAGGACGAGGCTGCCCTGCCAGGAGCCCAGGGCCCCTCCAGCTGCTCTGTCAGACAAGGTGGGAGGCGGGCCCTTCTGGGCAGCCCACTGCCTCTCCTTACAAACAGGACAGAAAAGGAAATGTGCCCCTCGAAACCAAAATGTGCTGGTCCTAGAGGCTGACAGCTTCTGCCATCAGGACCTCTAGGCAGCCGTTTCTCAGGCCCAGGGGCACTTCATGTATAAAGTATCCCATGATGGGAACCCCCCACCCAGGAAGGGAAGGAGGGAGTGACGGGTGCACCAAAGCCAGCTTCTGCCTCACAGCACCCATGGACCCTCTAGCAGACGCCCAGGAGCTTACTCACCTGTGTCTGTCCAGCCCCATGTGGTGGTGGGGGGGGGGGGGCGGGGGGAGGGTCTCTCGCTCAGTACTTTTCTTAAACCCAGTCACCTGCTTTTTCTGTCATGGTGAAATGCAAACAACATAAAAGTTGCCATTTTAAGTGTAGGGTTTGGTAGCAGGTTCAGTGGCACTAAGCACTAGTACGTTCATGTTGTCCTGCACCCTGAGCTTTGTCACATTGCAGAGCTAAGACTCTGCGCCCAGCACCTCCCCTGGCAACCCTGCTACTTCTGTCTGAATCCGACGCCTCTCGGGACCATCACGAGGCAGGAACCCCACAGTCTGTGTCCTGTTGTGCATCCCCTCACTCTCACCCCCATTCCTCTGCAGCCTCCCCCAACCTTTGACAACTTCCAAAAACGAATACTTTTTTTCTGATTAGAAAGTTGATTTCTGTTCTTGGTTCAAAAACAAACAAAAAGAAAAACGTAGAAAAGAAGAATACAGCACAAAAGAACCCTCCAGAAGTGGATGCGAACTGCGGTGCCGGCTGGGCTGTGGGCACTGGGTGTGCGCCACAGCCTTTCTGAACAAAGAGGCGGTTTCCCCGACCTCTCCTTCGCTTGGCCTCGGTGCCTTCTGGGGGGGTGGGGGGGGGGTTGGTGACTCCCCCTCCCTCTTCCTCCGCCTGCAGAGTGAGCTCTCCTTCGGGCTCCCGGCCTTTCCCGAGGTCCGGGGACAGAGGGGCGGCCCTGACTCGTCTTCTCCCCGCAGCCGCCCCCGAGCGCCAGGCGGACGACCCCGCCTTCAGCCGCGCGCCCCGCTGCGCGCAGGTGGAGAGGACCCGGCACTGCAGCTGCGAGGCGGGTTTCCAGCTGAGCGGCACCCCGGGCGGAGACAGCGTCTGCCAGGGTAGGTAGGCAGGTGCGCGGAGAGGGGACTCGAAGTGGGGGGGACACAACGGGGTGCCCACCTGCCAAACGGGCACAGCAGGGGGGACACAGGAGGGAAGGGGCACCACCACCGCCCTGCCACCTATGGGCGCACCCAGTCTGCTCCCAGAGCGCGAAGGAGGAGCGCGGCCTCAGGGATCCCAGCCCCTGTGGTTTTCGGTTCCTGCTGACCTGGTGTCTGCTGAGAAGGAGCTAACACCTAGACATGGCGGGAGGCGAGGGCCGCCATGAGCAAGTAGCGAGGGGTCCCAGGCTCACCCCCAGGCAGAACCTGGCCTTGAGCCCCTTGTCCCTGCATCGTGACTGGAATCACAGGGGTGGGGGTTCGGAGCTGGGCGTGTGCCCGAGGCTCCTCCTTTCCCCTCTGGGCTTAGCTGTATGGGCAAGGCCACTTCTAGGGACCATCTTGCCCACCAAAGCTCCTTCTGAAAACAACTCAGGCCAGTGGTCCAGACCTGAGAATCGGTCAGTTGGTGCCAACAGCCTCCTTTTACTGCAGCAGAAACAAGACCCAGAGAGGGGGCCGCAAAGTAGGCCGGGAGTCTGGGGTGCAGCAGGGACTGGCTCTCTGGGCTGCCCTGGGGGTCTGCTTGGCCAGCCTCTGTGGGGTCTGCCTTTCCAGGGTCTTCAGCCTTAGATGGAGGAGGCTTGGAAGCTGTCTGGTCAGCTCCCCCCCTCCTTCCTATGCCCTCTGGCTCTGCAGAATGGGAGTGCCCCCCCTTCCCAGGCTCTGCTGGGGACAGGGCTGACTGCATGGCCCCCCGAGTTATCCCAGGCACTTCTGTCCCCAGATGTGAATGAGTGTGAGCTCTACGGGCAGGAGGGGCGCCCCCGGCTCTGCATGCACACCTGCGTGAACACACCTGGCTCCTACCGCTGTGCCTGCCCCAGCGGGTACCGGACCCTGCCCGACAGGAAGAGCTGTGAGGGTGAGTGGACCTGAACCAGAGGCAGGTGCTGCGGGGCTGAGAGGGGCTCTCCGAACCTGGTCACTGCTGCTCCTGTGACCTGCCAGGACTCCGGAATGGGATGCAGTGGATGTTCCGGGGGTCAAAGTCTCAGATATACTCAGTCTTTAAAAATCCACCAACAGCCGGGCCGGTGTGGCTCAGTGGATAGAGCGTCGGTCTGTGGACTGAAGGGTCCTGGGTGTGACTCCAATCAAGGGCACATGCACGGGTTGCAGACTTAATCACCAGTGGGGGAGAGGGGGCGTGCAGGAGACAGCGATCAATGATTCTCTTTCATCATTGATGTTTCTATCTCTCTCCCTCTCCCTTCCTCTCTGAAATCAATAAAAATATATATTTTTAAAAAAACAAAACACCAACAGCCTGGCAGGTGTGGCTCAGTGGTTGAGCATCGACCCATGAACAGTTCGATTCTCAATCAAGGCACATGCCCGGGTTGCAGTTCAATCCCCAGTAGGGGGCGTGCAGGAGACAGCTGATCAGTGATTCTCTCTCATTAATGTTTCTATCTCTCCCTCTCCCTCCCTCTCTCTGAAATCAATAAACAACAACAAAAAGACCACCAACAGAAGGACCTCTCATCAGGCTGCATTGGCATCGCCATAAATAGGAAAGCAAGTTGCTTAGCCATCCTGGCAAATAGTCTCTTCTGACCTTCTGCAAGTAACTGCTCACAAGGTCAGGCCATGTCCTCCCCTTCACGATGCCTTTAGCCAGGGTGGGACCAAAGGAAGAGGAGCCAGTTGGTCCCATGCCCTGCAATCTGGAGGAGACATGAGGCTCTGGGCGTAACGGGCCCTCTCCATGGCCGGTGCAGGCCTACGTCTCCATCTGAAAGGGAAGCACCTTACAGCCACTATGCTCTAGTGCGATCACCCCACATCTCAGCCCTGGAACCCCGATGCTATAGCAGGTCTCTGGGTTGCAGAAAACTGGGTCTGCTAACCCAGGCCTGCCTCACATTAGAGGAGGGACAAATCCGTGTTCCTCGGCTGTCACCCATGGAGACAGGACACAGAAGAGAACCCAGCTGGTCCTGGACTGTGGCTCTGAGCTGCTGGGGGAGAAGGAGGAGGAGAGAGGGCAGAAGGCTCCATAGGCTGTGGAAACAGAGAGGAGGTGGCTCCCCCGTGACATCCTATTGAGGTTCCACTGCAGGACTCAGAGAAATGGTAACCTGGGATTGGTGTAGGAGATAGCCATCATCTGTGCATCCACCCCTCATTCCATCTCTCTCACCCACCTCCATCTGTCTCCTCCATCTGTCCATCTCTTCTACCCATCCATCCATTCATCTATCCATCCATCCATCCATCCATCCACCCATCCATCTCTCATTCATTTGTTCGTCCATCTGTCCATCCTACAGTGTTTGTGTGGGGTTGGGAAGAAACACACACACTTCAACGGAGAAACTCACCTGTGAAGGGAGCAGAGAACGCATACAGAGGAGAGTGAGGCCATCTGCTTTAGGCATGGGGTGAGGCCGAGTAGGAAGCTTTCAATGATTTGATCATACAGGGCATGATAACAGCCCTGGAGGAGAGACAGCAGGGCACCTTGGCTGAGGAGGCAGGTCTGAGAGAAGCACGGTGGCAGGAGCACTCCTTTGTGCTGTCCAGCCCCCTGTAAGCTGTCACACCCAGAAGGGAGGACAGGATCCCGGGAGGCGA